ATATATATATATATATATATATATAAAATTCTTACTAAGATTTTGCTAGTTTTGTTCCAAGTGCCATTACACATTTTTTTTTTAAATTAACTTTCGAGAAATTAAACAAAGAATATCCATAATGGCAAGAAGAAAGTTAGTGAGAGACGTGCATCGATGATATTTATCTTGAATTTTCCAATAATTCTTCCGACGAGGAAACGGATAACAGAAATGACAATACTGTTATAAATGAATTTACGGTTTGGAAAGATGTCACGCACAACGATCAACCTCGACCAAAAATGAATTTCTCCACGGGCTACAAGATCGTTGGAGCCTAGTATTCCCTTTACATTGCACAGAACCCATCCATTTTTTTCAAACTATTTTTCACACAGATGCATTGCTTAACACAGTTGTACTAGAAACAAATAGATATGCTGAAACTAAAATAGAAGAAACTGGGTTGACGAGAAAGATGAGCTGACTGCGTAATCTTGAACACGGGTATTATGCCCATTCCTAATTTGAAGGATTACTAGACTAAAGAGCACGTTGCAAGCATCACTTTTTCAAAGATATATTCGCATTATGTTACTAGTTACTTTCTTCAACAAAAATTTAATCCCAGTATAAACGAGATACGACCGCAACGGGTTAAATAGCGTGTTTTTCGGTCGCCGACGTAGAAAGTAGTTTCTCAGAGCGGTGAACGAAAATCCAGCGATTCGGTGGGCGGTCGTAGCCTTTCTTCGCTCTTTTGTTTCGCCACGAGAACAATCCACGGTCTGAAGAGCATGCTGCGACAGACCTCTGTGCATATATCGATCCTCCGTTGCATCTGCTGTTTCCGGCCTGCTTTCCGCGCCAGCCTTGCTGCCGGGCTACTCGCGAACAGCAAAATGGCAACGCGAGGAAATGGAACTCGCCGACACGATCCCGCGCTCTAATCGTTCCGTTGTTCGATCGTCAAACGTCGTTCGTACCTTGTCTCTCCTCCTTTCTCGCGTTTGTTCTTGTCTCTGCATTTATGTAAATCGTTTCCTGCTAACGTAATACAATTCTTCTTCTTCTCTTTCTTCTCTCGCGGTCATTGCAATTCTCATTATGCAATCGTGACGTTTAAAAAAAATTACGTCTACGAGTATCAGTATCTCTTTTTGTTTCTTTCGAGTTCGTTTTCTAACCACAAAGAGATCGCAGTTTGAAAGATCCTAAACACTTTGACGAGACTTGTCGTGGTATTCTTTGTGCGTAGAGCCCGTTGGTGGCTCGACGAACGAAATTTGTCAAGCTTGTTATTAACGTTAATCGCGACGAGGGCGTCGAGACTCTGACTCTAATTATAAAGCCAAGATATACGTGTTATTAAGCATATCACGCAAGCTTCGAGACGTTGGCTCTCTCTCTCTCTCTCTCTCTCTCTCTTTGTTTCTAAGAGCATTGACTCACCCAAGTGCATAACTGACGTGCTCGACAAGAATGTACGTAAAATGTTCGAGCGTTGGTGATCGTGGTGATTACACTTTGCTCGGCAAGTGACTTCACGACCGATCACATCCGGATCTTCCCGTGACTGCGAGATGTATTTTTAACCCATTCTTCTTTTTCCTTTTTCTTTTTTTCTTTTTAATCTGTACGAACGCGATTTCGATCGTATGCACGTGCACGCGATCGTGAAACACATAACCCTCTCCGCATAACGAGTATGATCGTTTGATCGTTTCCAGGAACACGCTGATCGAGGAGAGCAATGGCGGTGTTTGGGCTGGTCTCGGCGGTGGCCGGGTTCGTCAAAGTACGATATTTAGTGGACAAGGCGATCATCGATAACATGATATTCAGGGCGCACTACAGGATCACCTGTGCTATTCTGTTCGCCTGTTGCATCATCGTCTCGGCCAGTAACCTAATAGGTAAGTAGCAGTACCTTTTCCTCTCTCCCCCTCTCCTCCAGATTTTCCTCGTCGACCACGAAACGTAATTCTCAGAGAAACTCCAAATCGGACCATTTATAGG